CTCCTTAAGATCACCATGTAAGAAGGCGTTCTTAACATCCAGCTGATACAGGGGCCAACCACGAATAGCAGCCACAGCTAGGAGAGTCCGCACCGAGACAATCTTCGCCACAGGAGCAAATGTTTCTTCAAAATCAACACCATACTCCTGACTGAACCCCTGAGCAACCACACGAGCTTTGTGCCTCTCCAAAGAACCATCAGGAAGAAACTTAAGAGCATAGACCCAGCGGGACCCCACCAACGGCCGATCAGGAGGGCGGGAGTCCACCACCCACGTCTGGTTAGCAAGAAGAGCACGAATCTCCTCGGTCATAGCTCCATCCCAGGCCGGATCAGCGCGAGCCTGTGAATAACGAGTAGGAACAGCAAGAGCATCAACACCATAAGAAACATAATCACTGTGCCGAGAAGGAGGTCCCCAAAGGTAGAGCGCTGAGAGCGGCGGACAGGCGGTGGTGGTCCTGGTGAGGCCGAAGGCGGTGAAGGCGGTGGAGACGGCGGGGGGGAGGGAGGCGGACTGGGATCAGGGCCAAGGTCAAGAGGAGCATCATCACCATCATCGTCGTCAGAAAAGGATGGAAGACCCAACGTCGTATCAAACAAAGGAGTGGGAGTGGACGAGGAGGAATAGAACATGAGATTCTCAAGAAATACGACATTACATGCTATACGAACACGACGAATATCAGGATCATAACAGAGATAACCCTTATAGATATCACTATAACCGAGAAAAACACAACGAGCAGTCTTAGAGGTCAACTTAGTACGCTCCGAACGAGGAAGCAGTACAAAACATAAGCAACCAAAGACACGAAGGCGAGAATAAGGTGGTTGTTTACCGAACAGCCTAAAATAAGGACTAGACTGGCCAAGAACAGGTGTGATCTGGTAATTAATCAGTCGAACAGCTGTGGAAACAGTTTCAGGCCAAAACATGGAGGGAACACGAGAGGAAAGAAGAAGGGCACGAGTGACCTCAAGAACATGACGATTTTTACGCTCCACAAGACCATTCTGTTGAGATACACCGGGACAGGACTTATGGGTAAGAATTCCTAAGGACGCATACAGACTGAGCAAAGGGGTGGAGCTAAACTCTCCCCCGGGATCAGAACGGACTACACGAACAGACCTATCAAACTGAGTCTTAATCATCTGTAAGAATTCAGTGGCAATAGACAAAAGATCGGATTTAAGTCGGAGAAAATATACCCATGTGAATCGAGTAGCATGATCAACAAACAGTGCGAAATACTTATAACCATGTCGAGAAGTAACTGGACTAGGTCCCCAGAGATCAGTATGGATCAAATGAAAAGGTTCAGTAATAACTGTGGTGCTCGAAGGGAAAGAAATCCGAGTCGTTTTGGCTTCAACACAATTTTGACAAGAAAATTCTGACAACCGATCAATTTTAGTGTTTGGACCAAATAACTGCTGACGAAACATGGTTACAAGCCTACCCGAATTGGGATGACCCAGTCTAGCATGCCACAACTGAAATTTTTGATCACTAAGACTCGAATAAGTAGGAACAGACAATACCCTAGACACCGAAACAGAATCCGACGACGACGATGACAAGGAATGTGGGGATGCGGTGACAAGCTCATCCATCAAGAATATCCGACCTTGTTTTCTACCCGTCCCGAGCTCCCTCCCCGTCTTCATGTCCTGTACAACACAACCAGACGGTGCAAAAATAACACGACAGCCTTGTTCAGTAAGTTGGCCCACAGAAACCAGATTAGGAACCAATTTAGGAACATGAAAAGTATCAGGCAAAACAATATTATCATCCTTAGCCGAACCAATACCAGAGATCATGAGCCTAGCGCCATTAGCAACTTGTAAGGAGAGATTATTAACTGGTTGACCTTGCTAACAACAGAATGATTACCAGTCATATGATTAAAGCAGGCAGAGTCCATGATCCATTTCGAGAATTTACCTGTGACCTGAAGACTCGCAAAGGCAGAGGAGATAGCTTTATTCACCATAGTCTCAAGAGCAGCAGGGGTAACGAGAACCCCATCCGAACCAGCTGCTGGGGTCGCAGCATAGGCAGGGCGAGCACGGCCACGCGAATTCTCATACCTGCCACCTCCACGTCCCGCACCGGAACCAGACCCATCAACATCACCCATCCTTTCTTGAAGCAACTCACAATCAGAAATAATGTGCCCCTTCTTCTTGCAATATACACAGAAGTTGCGCTTGCGGCAATACTTCTTCGTATGACCTTTATCGTGGCAATGGTGGCATTCCACCTCCGAGAGAGGACGAGGAGGAGCAGATGAACGGTAAGCAGCGAATGCTGCATCTTGAGGCAGCTCGTCATCGCCAGCAGGAGGGGAAGACAGACCGCCTGGTCGAGCAGCAGCAGCAGCGAAGCGGGAGCTATCAGCCGGGGCATGGCGCGACTTCAGATTTCCACTTTGAGCAACGCCGGCCACGCTGAAGGCTGGGACATCGGCACGGCCAGGTCTGGCGTCGAGAGCAGCCTGGGTTCGCATTCGAGTCTCTTCTCGGATAAGATCAGCGAGAATCCCTTCCAGCCGAAGAGAGTCGCGGTTCAGAAGGGTAGCCCTCAGGGACTCGAACTCAGGTCGGAGTTTCATTAAACATTGAAGCAGCCGAATCTTAGTTTTCTCGGCCTGAAGTTCGGCGGGAATAGGCTGGGTGAGGATGGACGACGTGAGCAGGTCCTGCTCTGTCCAAAGAAGGCGGGCAGCATTATAGTAGGAGGCGACATCAAGCTCGCCCTGGTGGAGATTGGCCAGCTCCACCTCAAGTTCGAATTGGCGGTTGGCACTGGTTGCAGAATATGTCTCGGCAAGCGAGCTCCACATCGCGGCAGCAGTCGGAAGAAGACGGAGACCCAGAACAATGGAGGGATCAACCGAATTCATGATCAAGGAGCGGACGCGGGCATCGGTCTGAACCCACCGCAGCACGTTTGCTTCTGTGGAAGGGGGAACCGTCGGCCGGGCAGAGGTTCCGTCGAGGAAGCCAAGGAACCCTTTCCCTTCGATGAAAACGCGAAACTGGAATTCCCAGAGGGAATAATTTTTCGCGTTCAAACGAGTAGTGATCCGATCAGAATCCAAGCTGGTGAGCTCTGATACCATGTTAACTTAGCTTATCGGAGAAGAATTAAAACAGAGAATGATCGAAACAGAAACGGAGAACACACAGATTTACGTGGTTTCCTTGATCAGTGTGATCAAGACTAGTCCACGGCCGAAGCGATCGATGTTCTTATTTACTTAGCTGCTGCCGATCATGTTCATGATACATGTATATATATTAACCTAACCCTAGCAGAGGTAGAAGAGTGTTCGGCTAGGGTAGGGATCTTCCTAGACTAGGCCTACTACTATACAATGGGCTAAAGCCCATCCGAAATACATATCTCAACAACTTCCACTAGCTCAATAGCATATCGAGGGAAACCAACCAGGAGGCATCTTCACGTCGACAAGAGCTGCCAACTTTTCGGCCACCGTACATCGACGGATCTGACAAAGCTCAAGATCAAAGTTTTCTCCTTCCGGCGGGTGTATTTCACGCTGGTTGCGTTTAATTTTTTGAATTAAAATGATTTTTTCTTATTAAAATTGTTATCCCTGCATCTATGATTTACTGGTGGGATGGGCGATCATTTAATTTCCATGACTATCCGTCTATTATAAAACTATTATTTTATTGTTTGATGAAAAGAACTTTTTAGTTATGTCAGTTATTTTATTAAAAATCATATCTCACTCTGCCCCCATTTCTCCCCAGAGTCGAGATAGTGTAGTGGTTGAAACTTGGAATCACTATTTGGGTTGGTTAGATTTACTGGTTGGAACTGATCCGGCTTCACTATCTTCTAAATATGGCAAATGGTAAGTTAGATTATATCTTAAATCACGTCGTGCAAGGAAATTCGTATATTTGGTGGCGGAGACTAATGTATTCTACATACAATCCTTACAGAATTTTCCAACTCCTTTTCCAACTCTTGTACAGTAGTTTCAAGAACACTCAACTGCTGTCCACCATCCTCACTCCTTCATCACTTGGGTGCTCCAAATTCAACTCAACACAACTGGTCATCCTTATCGAGATTGTGCTACAGGCTTGGTGATGAAGCCCACAGATGAGCGTCCACACTTCACTATTGGTGTTTAGTATGAGATTGCCCACTAGAAACGACTAGTACTACTAGTTGCTCTAGACGGTCTACTCTTGACTCATAACATCGACCTCTACCTTGTCACGCTCGAAGAACATTTTAAAGTCGACATTCACCAGCTTCTCAAAGGGATATATAGTCCAATTCAGTTGGAGGACCAATGCTTAGAGATTATCGTCAGATGATCGCTGCTCTAAACACAGGCTTAGAGGTTTGTGCGGTCCTTAGGATTACCAATCAGGTTGCCCATAGCGTGACAATAAAATCCCTTTCTCAGACTAGTTTACAGTTGTTTTCATTTGATTTTGTTACTTAGCTAGGAGGGATTTAGAGGGTAGTCTTTTTTTTTTAATATTCTATTGTCATATCTCAATAAAAAAAAAAAGGTGAAAAGGTAAACTGCCCCCCAAAATACCCACCCATCAACTGTTTATTTTTAACCAAACGGGTGCAAACTTATTGGGAATTGACATTTATACACCAAGATTTGCACCCCATTCATTATATTAAGCAGAAGTTAATAAAGAATTATCTCTCTAAATTCCTATCCCAATCCTCTCAATTCTCGATCTCAATCCCTCTAAAGGTCTAGAGCGATTCTCTATCTTTCTCTTCTTCTTTCCCAAATCCCAATCTCAATCCCCAATTCTGTTCGTATAAACCCTAATTCGCAAATATCAAACCCGTTAGAAACTTTGTTTCTAACATTTGGTATAAGAGCCCGTTTCGAGAATTGAGTTCATCTCAACTATCAACCGGGGACGAGTTCTACAACTGGTTTGATGATGAGCTCTTCAAGGCTCTCGGACCTGTCATGGGGAGAGATGCGGGAACAAGCTCGTCGCATCGGCCATCGTTGGAGCTCCGAGGAGTTGCCGCTCCTGAAGGAAGAGGCGACGACCGACGAAGCACTACCTCCGCAGCTGGCCGAGCACGACGCGAAGGCTGTTGGGGAGATGGCGAGGAAGGCAAGGATAGAAGTACGCCGGTCCCCATGTCGTCCGTCGGTCGATCCGCTACCAAAGAAGAAGAAGACAAGGGGGGAGAGCTCGACGCCAGAGAAGAATAAGAAGAAGGAAGGTGGCGGGAAGCTTTTTCACACGGCGCTGGAGTTGAGAAGGGCGACGAAAATGCGGCTGCCGACAAGCGAAAAGGAGAATGGGGGGAGGCACCTCTCTTGTTGGTGGTCTCCAATCGCAACCCTATTTCAACCTTGGGCCAAAGCTCATTCCTAATGGGGTTTCGAGTGGGCTCGAGTTGGGCCGGCTGGTCTTGTGGAGTAGGCCAAATGGAAATTAGCCGAGCAGGCTACCATTTTTGGACAATTGGGCCAAGCAGAGACCTGATTATGGGCTGAGGCATCAGGGAGGCCTTGTTTCTCAAATGAGTTGTATTTGGAAGTGGGTGGACTTGGAGAAAAGTGAAGAGAAGTTTGGTGGGCCGCGACCGGGAAGTTCTGTTGGATTTCTTTGTAATGGGCTGGGCTTTGGGGCTTGGGAAGAAATGGAGCTTAACTGGAAGAAAAAAAAGCGCGAGGAGTGAAGCAACCAATGCGTTGGTGGCACGAGAATGGCGCTAAAGTGGGTAAAGTCGGTCAACCTTGAGGGCAAGGTTGGTCTGAAGGGGGACAAGATGTTAGAAACCAATTTATATAGGGTTTCTATATTTATTATTATTAGCCAAATTCTTATTATGGTTAGTAGTCTTCTAGTAGAATTAGGTCTATTATTAGGGTTTTCTAGTATTTCTCTATATATATGTACTTTGGGTCATTCATTATATTAAGCAGAAGTTAATAAAGAATTATCTCTCTAAATTCCTATTCCAATCCTCTCAATTCTCAATCTCAATCCCTCCAAAGGTCTAGACCGATTCTCTATCTTTCTCTTATTCTTTCCAAAATCCCAATCTAAATCCCCAATTCCATTCCTATAAACCCTAATTCCCAAATATCCAACCCGTTAGAAACTTTGTTTCTAACATTGAAGTACAAAGATATTTTTCAGGAAAGAGTTATACCACTGGAAATCAATTAAACCTTAATAGCCCTTATCCCTAAGGTGAAGCAACCAGTAAGTCTAAAGTAGTTTTGTCCGATCAGTTTATGCAGAGTAATATATAAGATTTTTTCAAAGCTTCTTGCAAACAGATTTAAGAGAGTGCTTAATGTGGTGATTCATGAGAACCAAAGTGCCTTTGTGCCAGGGAGATACATAACGGACAACATCATGTTGGCTTTTGAGTGTTTTCATGCTATGAAAACTCGAAAGAAAGGGGAAAAGGTTACGTGACAGCCAAGCTGGATATAGCGAAGGCTTATGATCTGGTGGAGTGGAGTTTTTTGAAAGGTGTAATGGAGAAAATGGGATTTGCACATGACTGGATTACTCCTATGATGCAATGTTTGACGACAATGACATATTCAGCCCTAGTTAATGGTCATTAATCGGAGGTTATCTATCCTACAAGAGGGGTTAGGTAGGGATATCCAATATCCCCATACCTATTACTTTTATGTGGAGAAGGTTTGTCCTGTCTAACAGAGAAAGCGGTGCAAGAAGGAAAAAATCACGAGATTAAGGTTAGTAAAGATGCCCCAATGATCACACATTTATTATTCACTAACTACATCATCTTCTTCTTTGAAAACAAAAAACCAAGATGGGAGACTTAGAAGTGGATTTTGGAAACATATGAGAAAGAATCGGGCCAATAGGTTAGCCTAGTGAAGTCAGAATTGACTTTCAGCACTAATGTGGATGAGGCTCAACGAGAAAAGATGGCACAGTTACTGGGAAATGAAACATGTGTTGCAACACGACAAGTATCTAGGGATGCCCACAGTCATTGGAAAATCAAAGAAGGCAGTTTTTACACAACTTATTGACAAAGTGAGGAAAACAGTAAAGTTATGGAAAATGAAGCTCCTATCAAATGTAGCTAAAGAAGTCTTAATCAAGGGCATCGCTCAAGCTCAAGCAATGTATGCAATGTCGGTATTTATAGTCCCTCAGGGAGTGACTAATGAAATGCAAAGTGTTATCTCTGATTTTTGGTGGGGAAGCAAGAATGGTGAACGTAGGATAGATTGGATGAAATGAGAAAAATTATGCAAGCCTAAGAAGGAGGGGCATGTGATTTTGTGATCTACACGAATTCAATGTAGCATTATTGGAAAGATAGGTTTGGAACTTATCATAGAATCCAGACTCCTTAATTGTCAGAGTGCTCAAATCAAAATACCATCCTTATACTAATATTCTGGACGCTGAAATGGGTCACAACCCCAGTTACATATGGAGGAGTATCATAGCGTCTCAAGGATTAGTGAAGGAATGAACTAGATGGAGAGTGGGAAATGGACAAAGCATACTCATCTGGTGGGATAGATGGGTTCCAGAAGTGGTTGATTACAAAATCCAGACCACAGTTACGAGTTTAGGATTGAATGCAAGGGTAGCGGATTTGAGTGATCATTACAGTCGATCTTGGTGAAGTAATCTACTACAACAACACTTCTAGCCTATCGATAGGGAAAGTATTAAATCCATCCCTATACCAGCAATACCTAGATCACATAGTTGGTGTTGGGGGAAAAGCAAAACGGGGCTCTATCATGTCTGGAGATTGAAAAGATTGAAGGGAATCCCGAAAAGGTATGAGCCAATTGACTGGCCCAGACTATGACATTTGCAGCTGCCACCAAAAGTGATAGTATTTGTGTGGAGATGGGGATCAAATATATTACCTACGGGCAGAAACCTTGCAAGGCGTATCCTAGATGCAAACGAGGAATGCCCATTCTGTGGGTTGGTGGAGACACAATAACACATAACAAGAGATTGGGACTAGGTGGGAAGAATTTGGAGACCTAGCTATTAGAGCAAGATGTTCGAAATGGGGGGAGATCGAAGTTGTGCTAATTTGATTTGTCAACTACTGGAGAAGGTGGAGGATGAGGAAGTTTTTGAATTTCTAGTAACACTATGGTTCCTTTGGAAAGAAAGAAACAATCATAACTCAACAATCAGAAGTTGGAAGAATGGGAAGTCGTGGAGAGAGCTTAGAGTTACCTGGATGAATATCGACGAGCCAAGGAGCCAGATTTGTTGCCAGTACAGCCGAGCTGGAGATACAGATGGGAGAGACCGATGGTGGGTTTCAAAGCAAATGTGTATGCTAGTGTGCTGAAAGATGGGGGAACGGGATTCAGAATGGTGGTTCGTGATGGGGAAGGGAGATTTGTGATGACGGCAGTTAGGGGTGGGCATCGGTCGATTCGGTCCAAGACCGGATCAAACTATCCTCGGACCGGACCAAAATTTCTTCTAAATCAAGGACCAAAGTCCAATGGTTATTACTTCGATTCGGTATGGATCAAACCATATATAACTCGATTCGGTTTGGACCATCCCATTGGACCGACTAATCTTTCATTCGAATGAAATCACACTGAAAGGACAACACAAGAATTAAAAAAATGTAACTACATAAAAAGAAGTAATCAACTTATCCTAATTTAAATACTCCACAATTCTTAAAACCCACATGTTCCAAAATATTATGCAAAAAGTTAAACGAGAACTACTTAACTAAGAGAAATTTTACAATGCTATATAGTATTGGTGTTATAAGTTTTTGCCTTTATGGTACAACTTAAAATTGTACATTAACGTTATGGTACAACTTCAGATTGTACCTATACATTTTGTACAAATTCTTTTATGGTACAAATTGAACTTGTACATTTGTGATGGTACAACTTCAAGTTGTAAAATTGTGCCATAACGTAATGGTACAAATTGTTTTATGGTACAACCTAAACTTATACATTTAATGTTATTGTACAATTTTAAGTTGTACATTAAAGCACCAATGCTATATAGCATAGTAGAAGTGCTCCTTAACTAAAAGACAAAAATCTTTTTATTCAATCTCAAAGGTAGTCTAACTAATTGCCTCTCTAATCTTCCATTTTCATTTCCAGAGTGCATGTTGGAACTCCCAATCTTCAGAATTTTCATTGTTCATTAGAAAGGCTTTCTTCTGCAATATAAGCACATGATATAAGGCATTAGAAAGGAGTTTAACAAAGTGACACTTAATCCAAGAACTAGTGCAATAAAACAAATGATTCTTAACCTTGATAATTTGCAGTGGTGTTGTCAGACTTGGCAGAAGACACTGTGGTGTCATTTATTCACATCTTCTCCATATTTGAAACATTAAACAAGAAAACAGAACACAATATAAATACCTGGTTCACAGTGTGTAGGTAAAGTAAGCAACTCTCTTGATCAAAGCAACGCGAATGAGAACTCTGATTTGAGGGTAGGACTATAGGAATGGAGCGGCGAGTCAAAATCAAGGAAAGTCAATCATATTTATAGGTAGTTAAGTGTCGTGTAGGGTACTAGAGTTTTCAACTCCAAGTCGAGTTGCCTTCTCGGAGCCTAATAAAATAGGAAGTTAATTTAATTACGATTTGGTCCGTTCCTTAGCTTGATTTTACGGTTTCGGTCTGGACCGAACCAAAACTGAAAATGTCCTAAATTCAGGAACCAAAGTCGAATCGAAAGATAAACAGTTCAATCCGATTCGGTGTGAGAGTCGATTCGGTCCGATTCGATCCAATGTGAATCGTATCGTTGCCCACCCCTAACGGAAGTAAGACGAACCCGAGTATGGCAACCCGAGATGGCTGAAGCAGAGACTTTCCTCTGGGGAACGAAGATCATGCACTAGCATCAACTGCATCCAGTGTTAATGGAAACCGATTGTCAAAGTCTAATTTTCAAATTGTAGGGGAAGGAGAGGGTTAATTTGGAGATTGAAACTATGTGTAAAAAGATAAGGGAAATGGCTTAGGGGAAGGAGATTGAATGGAGGTTTTGGGGAAGGGAAGGAAACAAAGTAGCACATCAAATGGACCGAATCCTTTGCATATGGGAGGAAACCAAAATCTGGTCGACCGGCCACCCATTTTTCTTATTTCGCAATTACTTAGTGACTGTAATGCTTCTTCCCATGAATAAATAATAAGCATACATGCACCTTTTATCAGAAAAAAAAAATTGAAGTTAGTTGACTGTAGTCAAACTTGTAGACATTTGGTATTGTATTAATTTTCTGGGTTAATAACATTTTGTATCCCTCTATTGTGATAAATTAACAAACATACCCCTCTACTAAAATTTTGCACAAACATACTTTTTTAATATTAAAACGTAACAAATTTATTCTGTCATCTAATTATGTGTTAAGTGGCCGTTAAAATAACAATTAAATGACTCAAATACCCCTCATTTACTCCTAAACACTCTTAATTTTTAGTTTTAATTTTTTATGTGCCAAATCAATTAATGAAAATAATCATTCTCCTAAACTAATTCACACCACAAATGCAGAAACCGTCCGTCTCCCCTGAGATTAGTCCCTCGAATTAGCGGCGGCGCCTGCTCACGGCCTCTCATCATCGGCGGCTGGAGTAGAGAGCACCGGCGGATACGCGGGTATTAAATGGTACATCCGATCATCACGCCACAAACTTATTTATCTCGATTCTTCCATTTTCAGTACAAACATACCATCTCACAAATATAAACAAATTATCAACAAGGAAAATTAAATGACTCAGCAAATTCGAGCTCACACACATCGTGTAGTGCTAGTTTAATTAAAAAATGGAGGGAATGGATCCTTGGGTTAACTTAGGGGCTTATTTGTTCAAAAGTTTAGAAATATGGATTCATTTGTTAACTTTACGCCATAAAAGGTCTTATAAGTAATTAACCCTTTATTTAATTTTTTCTTTTCATTTTTATCGACGCAAATAACAAAGGAGCCGCACAAATACTCCTGGATCGTTTAGGAGATACTCTGCAATCTATCCACTTATCCTCTCAATCCAACCCCAACATGAGAAGCTGCAAAGCTCCAAGAAACTCGAACCATTGCCCGCAAAATTGACAGAAAACGCAATCCCATCTCCTCTACCTCAGTCGCCCATGGCGTCGATCCTGGGAAACTCCTCGGCGGCAGTCTTGACGTCGAGGCCCTTCTATTCTTCCACTTCGAAGCCTTCCCTCCCTTCGCTTTCCCAAGTCTCAGGTGAAAATTTCCTGTTCCAACGGAGCTCAAAACTTTCCCCCCAGACTAGGGCTGTGAACTGAAATGGGAATTGGGTTTTCGAGTTCTTCAAAGAGAAATGTGTTTATGTGGTTGGTTCTTATTTTGTTCGGTGCAGGGCAAAGCTACTGGAGGAAGTACAATGGCGGGATTGGAATCCAGGGTAAGAAAGGAAGGGCACAGCTGCAGGTTGTCAATGTCGCCACTGATATTGACACCGTTGAGCAGGTATCATGTTTTTGTTTCTCTTTGACGATATTCATGTCAATATTCCTAGTTACTGGCTCTTGTCGGTGGAGCTGTGTTTATATTGAGTGTGATTGGAGATTTGAAGGTGCCCTTCAGTTAGGTTTTCAGAAATTTAGACTTAGAAGAGCAGAATGTACTCCTGAATTGACCCATTAGGAGGCAAGAGAATCTACATAGTGAGGAAGATTGCTAAGTAGTGGTCGTTCAGTGAAACAATATTTGTCGATGTACTTAGGATTAGGAGGATTATCAACTTCTCCTCTGATATTAACACCGTTGATCAGGTATTGCATATTTTTGTGTGTTAATTGGAGATTTGGAGGTGACCTTAAATTAGGCTTTCAGTAATTTAGAGATGGGAATCAGAATGTACTGATGAATAGAGCAGTTTGAGCAAAGAGAATGTGCTTGAGAAGATACTAAGCAGTACAATTTGAATGAATAATAAAAGCTGGTGACTTTTGATCTGCAGGCAAAGAGGGTTGTCGATAAGGACAGCCAGAGGCCGGTTTATCCATTTGCAGCCATAGTTGGGCAGGACGAAATGAAGCTCTGTCTCCTCCTGAACGTGATTGATCCCAAGATTGGAGGTGTCATGATAATGGGAGATCGAGGAACCGGGAAGTCAACCACAGTTCGTTCCTTGGTCGACCTTCTACCCGAAATCCAGGTAGTTGCTGGCGATCCTTACAACTCTGATCCCCAAGATCCAGAGGCCATGGGTATGGAAGTCAGAGAAAGCATCACTAAAGGTAAAGAACTGACCGTGGTCCTCACCAAAATCAACATGGTCGACTTGCCCTTAGGAGCTACAGAGGATAGAGTCTGTGGAACCATCGACATCGAGAAGGCTTTGACAGAGGGTGTCAAGGCATTTGAGCCAGGCCTTCTTGCTAAAGCCAACAGAGGGATTCTCTATGTGGATGAAGTGAATCTTCTGGATGATCATTTGGTCGATGTTCTTCTCGATTCTGCTGCCTCGGGGTGGAACACAGTGGAGAGAGAAGGTATCTCAATCTCGCACCCTGCTCGGTTCATTTTGATCGGCTCCGGTAACCCTGAAGAAGGAGAGCTGAGGCCTCAGCTGCTTGACCGATTTGGGATGCATGCCCAGGTTGGGACTGTGAGGGATGCAGAGCTGAGAGTTAAGATTGTGGAGGAGAGAGCACGGTTTGACAGAAACCCGAAGGAGTTTCGAAGTTCTTATATGGCTGAGCAAGAGAAGCTTCAGCAGCAAATTGGGGCTGCTAGGGCGTGCCTTGGTTCGGTGCAGATAGATCACGACTTGAAAGTTAAGATCTCGAAGGTGTGTGCAGAGCTCAATGTGGATGGGTTGAGAGGAGATATCGTGACTAATAGAGCTGCCAAAGCTCTTGCTTCTCTCAAGGGTAAGGACAAGGTGTCTGCTGAAGATATTGCCACTGTGATTCCCAACTGCTTGAGACACCGTCTTAGAAAGGATCCATTGGAGTCGATTGATTCGGGCTTGCTTGTGATCGAGAAATTTTATGAGGTTTTTAGCTGAGGCTCTAGTACTACTTTGTCGGACCTTTTCAGTTTGATTTGAACATCTTTTTTTGTCACATCTTGCTAATTCGATGTTTGGTTCTAATATACTAGTTACTTAGCTGGGTAGCAATCGTATTGTATGATATAGTAGTAATCTTTAAGTTCCAAAATAAGATGTATTGATCACTCTAGCAGCGGCAAAATAAGGAAAGAGTTTGAGGAGCAAGGGTACTACAAACAAACTCGAGAATAGCAGAAATGAAATTATGCTGATCGAACCCAGGAAACATATAAGAAAAGTTTGCATCTTTTCTCTCTCGCTAACCCTCACTCAAACTTCAGCGAGATCTCCGTTTCACCGGCGAAGAATACCGGAACCGCCGCAATAAGTAGAAGCCAAGAGGATAATCTTTTCCGATTTGCAGTTTCCGGCTGGAAGAATGGCCCGACCTCCTGGCTTGTCCTGCAGCCTTCTGGTTGGGCGCGATTTCAGAGAATAGATTGAGGGAAAGAAGAACTCGCGGAAGACGGAGGCTTATAGAGTACAGAGTGCCACAGAGGAATGAGATGTGGCGGGTGAATCTACCGGTTACGGTGGCAACCGTCAAAAGCACCGTCGGTTACAATTCCGGGACAATGGCGGTTACTTTGGGTTTTGATCATGCATGAGAGGGAAAGGAAGCAGCGGGAGAGCAACCTGCTCTGGCTACCCTCTGGATCTGTTTCTCCCTCTTTCTCGCCGTCGTGCGATCCAGCAGATTCCTGCGCCACGCCATCATGCGTCAATCCTGGATTTGACTCTATCCTTGAAATTCTTCTCGTGGATCTTATTTTTTGTAGGGGTTTTTAAACGAGTGGCGGTCCGGGCTCCTACGGCGACTCCCACCGGTCGACGGCGAGTCTTTCCGGCTTTGTTACTACATTGCGGTTTCTTTTTGGTGCAGTTACAACTCTTGGCAGGCACGTGCTCAATTTTTTATTTCTTTATTTATTTTCTTATTTTTAATGGTCATCAAAAATGTTTTGGAATCCTAATCGTGGCTACTCTGCTGTATGTTTTGTGGTGAATCCTAATTGGTCATACGATGAGCAATGGAGAATGATACCGATCATGATCGAAGTGGAGCAATGCTTGAAGACCTCTTTTACATTTGTTTCTTTTGTTTTTGCTCTTAGTAGTACTAACAGGGCTGCCCATCGCGTGGCACAAACGGCTCTTACATCGGTAGCAACCCTTTTGGTTGACTACCGCTTTTTCATTTTCACCGCACTGTAATACCCTATCTATTACGATCTATCTATGAAAAAAAAAAACCAGGAAACATGGAAACTAACCCAGGAAATTAGTATGAATCACGTGAGCTAGTGGGCTTATTTACTTGGCCCATTATTTACTATATAACAGGACCCAAAACTAAAGTCTAAAACAGAGGCCCCGCCCCAATTTCTCATACCCCCACGGCCCATTTACATCTCCTCCATGTCGGCGGAGAAGTGTTTCCTTCCCGTCGGGCCCCCTTTGTCAAACCTCAAGTTACTCAGCTTCCTTCCAGTCATCACATTCCTTCCTGGGTCTGCTTAACTTTGTCGAAGAACCCCACTGCCTTCCTCTGGCTCTGGGTTCACTGCAAGAGAAGGGAGGTTAGAATGAGTGTTCCTATAACCATGAATCCATGAGTGTTACTATAACCAAGAAGGTACCAAATTTAATCTTACTTTTCATCTTGTTCATGGCTCACAATCGCAGCATAAGGTCCAGGAATCTGCTTATTATTGTCAAGCGCAGCCTGAGCTCCAGCAATCTGATTCTGCATATTGTTCTGAGTCGGAGCATCAGCTTGAGCCTGAGCTCCAGCAATCTGGTTCTGCACATTGTTCTGAGTCGGAGCATCAGCTTGCGCCTGAGTTCCAGCAATCTGATTCGGAGCATCATCTACATTGTTCTGAGTCGGAGCATCAACTACAGTGGTTTCAAATGCACAGTTCCAGCAATCTTCTCGTTGTTCTCGGTCTCAGCTTTAGCAGCAATCTGCTCATTCTTCTCAGGCGCAGCCTTAGCTCCAGCAATCTGCACATTAATCTCAGTCACAGCATCAACTTCCGCAGTTTCAAATGCATCAGTTACAGCAATCTGCTCATTTTTCTCAGTCTCAGCTTCAGCGACAGCAACCTGGCTTTCCAGGTCTTCATCAACGTTGGAACTGCTGAGCCTATATTGTGATAAAGACATGAAAGACAGCTAAGAAAGCGCAGAGTTCATATTCTCAGGGAGGTGTGAAACGCTGAAACTTATCAGAAAGGGGACTTACAAGTTCCCAGATAGTGACGGATTGCTGTTAAGCTCCTTTGCAACCGTTTCAATGCCCAAATGCTTGTTGGATGAGCCATGGATCTCTTCCCAATTTCCATCTGATTCACACATAAGTTAACATCAGAAGACATTCTTGAATAACAAGAAAATTGACATCGTCCAAATATCTCAAATTTGTAAGTGGCGTGGTGCAATGCAATCACCCAGATGAGCAGTTCGATAACTCTCCTTACCCCCATTAATTTCATTTTTTTTTATATTTTCCCCATTAACTTCACAGATCAATTACAAAAGAAACGCCAGAAACACTAAAACAGATATCCTCCCAATGAACACCAATTTGTGACCAACACAACTCTAAGAGAAATCGCTATTCACTAACACCAATTCATGACCAGCTCTAAGAGAAATCGCTATTTACTACACCAATCCTATTCATCTTCTTCAAGAACAACTCCAACAGGATTAACATCGATTTCCTCCCAACTAACACCATAGCGTGAGAAACTTACCTATGAGTGACGGCTTCTTCTCTTCGTCCCTGGAAAGCCAGGTTGCTGTCGCTGAAGCTGAGACTGAGAAAAATGAGCAGATTGCTGGAACTGATGCATTTGAAACTGCGGAAGCTGATGCTGTGACTGAGATTAATGTGCAGATTGCTGGAGCTAAGGCTGCGCCTGAGAAGAATGAGCAGATTGCTGCTAAAGCTGAGACCGAGAACAACGAGAAGATTGCTGGAACTGATGCATTTGAAACAACTGTAGCTGATGCTCCGAATCAGATTGCTGGAACTCAGGCGCAAGCTGATGCTCCGACTCATAACAATGTGCAGAACCAGATTGCTGGAGCTCAAGCTCAAGCTGATGCTCCGACTCATAACAATATGCAGAATCAGATTGCTGGAGCTCAGCTTTAGCAACAATCTGCTCATTCTTCTCAGGCGCAGCCTTAGCTCCAGCAATCTGCACATTAATCTCAGTCACAGCATCAACTTCCGCAGTTTCAAATGCATCAGTTCCAGCAATCTGCTCATTTTTCTCAGTCTCAGCTTCAGCGACAACAACCTGGCTTTCCAGGTCTTCATCAACGTTGAAACTGCTGAGCCTATATTATGATAAAGACATGAAAGACAGCTAAGAAAGCGCAGAGTTCATATTCTCAGGGAGGTGTGAAACGCTGAAACTTATCAGAAAGGGGACTTACAAGTTCCCAGATAGTGACGGATTGCTCTTAACCTCCTTTGCAACTGTTTAAATGCCCAAATGCTTGTTGGATGAGCCATGGATCTCTTCCCAATTTCCATCTGATTCATACATAAGTTAACATCAGAAGACATACTTGAATAACAAGAAAATTGACATCGTCCAAATATCTCAGATTTGTAAGTGGCGTGGTGCAATGCAATCGCCCAGATGAGCAGTTCGATAACTCTCCTTACCCCCATTAATTTCGTTTTTTTTTTTATACTTTCCCCATTAACTTCACAGATCAATTACGAGAGAAACGCCAGAAACACTAAAACAGATTTCCTCCCAATGAACACCAATTTGTGACCAACACAACTCTAAGAGAAATCGCTATTCACTAACACCAATTCATGTCCAGCTCTAAGAGAAATCGCTATTTATTACACCAATCCTATTCATCTTCTTCAAGAACAAACTCCAACAGGATTAACATCGATTTCCTCCCAACTAACACCATAGCGTGAGAAACTTACCTATGAGTGACGGCTTCTTCTCTTCGTCCCTGGCTTCTTTCAGAGATTCGGTCATCTGAAAATGAAGAGCATAATTGACACCAGAGTGATTTTCACGAAGACGAAGAGATCATAATAGTCATCAACTGCTGAGTTCTTGAGAAGAAAAGGATCACATAGCAGACTACGGTCAGTGAATCCACTGAACGAAACGACGCCAACCGAAAACAGTTTGCCGAAAGAGCAAGAAACCTAAACAGAAGGACAGATCCGCTTCTAAACACCGAAAATGAGTGAGGAACAGCATCAATTCGTTCAGCAAGATTCAGATATATCGAGTATGAATGACGGAACTGCAAGAAAAGGCAACCAAAGAAATCGCACACTGGACAGATCCGCTTCTAAACACCGAAAATGAGTGAGGAACAGCATCAATTCGTTCAGCAAGATTCAGATATATCGAGTATGAATGACGGAACTGCAAGAAAAGGCAACCAAAGAAATCGCACACTGGACGAAAAAGCTAACTAGAATGGTTACGCAAGCTCAACATCGAAGTTCAGTGACAGAGGAATAATCGATTTCGTTCTCCGGCACTAAAGAATGGCGTCGAGATTAAAGAAACGCAAGGAACTGACTAGAACGGCTTACCGGCGGCGAACTCATTTGCCTTGATTGAGCAGCGCGCTGGATTTTTTGTTTGGCTTCTCAGAAATTTCTAAATCTGTTTGGCTCACCAGAAAATGTTGTTGAGCGCAAAGTTCAGTTCAAATGGCCCCCTCAAATATATAGCATTCGGAGTGGTGCTCTCGGTTTTGGAGGCTGCAGTGCGACTTGCTCCCTATTCCGCGAACATTGACTTCTCATGACAATTGTTGACTTGGCAGTATAATAGTTAGGGTTGGTATTCGATGCGGTTCAGTTCAGTCATAATAACGCTTAAGTCAGTTCTTGGTTACCCGTTAAATAATTTGTGTTTATTGTTAACCGCATCATTTATATTAGTCTGTTAACCATAACTAGCAAAAGTCCGCTCGTTATAGCTTCGTGTATCACAATGATATATATTTTAAAAAATAATAATTTTAATGTTGACCAAAGAATGAAAGTCATCTTATTTCATTGCTAATCATTATTTTCATAGGTTTGTTATTTACAATAGCATATGGTCGATGAACTTGCATAAGGTAGAGGGGTCGTTGAATAGATTATTAATTTTTAAACTTCTTTCATGACGCTAATGTTTCAATTTGTATGACTTTCTTTTTTTGAGTTTGAGGTAATCGTGGTTCTCCTTTATGAAATTTTAGTACTGATTACTAGTTTGAGGAGGTTCAACTCGCATTGATCGGGTCAAATTAGGTTAGATACCCATGGGTTTGGGTTCAATTGTCTTTCTTAAACAAAAGGAAAAGCAAAATGAAAAACACTAAAGCTAAAACTCGCCACCGACCCAAAATTCGTTAACACCAAGTTCAACTCGCTTTGACCTGGTTGGACCGAGTTTTGGACAAACTCACACCTGACACAACATGGTAATTACAAAAACAAATAAAACTCGCTCCCACCAAAAACCTGTAAAATCGGGTTCAAGTCGCTTTCGTCCGGTCAAATTAGGTTGTATACCCATGCGTTTGAACTCAATTGTCATTCTCAACCAAAAGGAAGGAAAAAGATAAAAAAAAAATACTAAAGCGGATAAAACTCACTCATGACCCCAAACTCTCAACAGTGCAATCAACTCGCTTTGACCGGGTCGACCCAATTTTAACAAATTCACAATTTACCCAACTTGCCAATTACAAAAGTGGATAAAACTCGCTCTCGATACAAAACGTGTCAACGATGGGTCAGAGTTCAATTGCCATTCTCAACGAAAAGGAAAATGAGAAATAAAAAAATTAAAGCGTACAAAACTCGCTTTCGATCTAAAACTGGTCAACAACGTGTTCAACTCGCATTTTCAGACCCCGAGTGAAATCCGGTGTACCGCATACCTTGAGTATGAAAACGCTATCCAGACCTTGAATTGATTGATCTTTTGGACATGATATTATACTCTAACCCTTAAAGATCAAAATCTAGGTCTTAGCTCCCTAAATCTTATACTCCAATATCAATTTAATTAGAAACAATAATCGCCGGCTATGATTCGTCCAAATATAGGCAAAAAATGAATGCTCCGTCTTAGGGTTTATAGTATATATATATTAAACCTAAACCTAAAATTGCATCGGTCTCTACCCTCCCTCCGATTCCTTCTATTTACCTCTCGCGTAAGGAGAACAGCGCCGCGCCATCAAACCTTCCCAGTCCCAGCATCATCACCGCCATCCTCGATACCCTCGCCTCCGTGCTTCACTCCGAGTCCGACCCGCTCGTCAAGGCTCCGCCTGGGGAGATTGATTCGGTTGGGGAGGATTCACGTGATCTGATACTCTTCCTGTATATATACAATCGTATAAGAAGCTGCTGCCCAGGACGCACAAGGACTCCGCTGCGGTTGCCGATGTTTGGCCCTCCACGACAGCTTTCGATGGTTATTTGTCCGCTCTCTCGCCGCTTCAGCTTGTACGCAGCAACAGCCGCCGTTTCATGCCTTCACAGGCTGATGAAGAGGCTCATCAGTTATCCTATTTACAAAACACATGGGTAACATTATTTCTCTGCCGGCAGAACCTGTTGAAGGAGAGGGCGAAGGCGAAGAGTTCCTGGTTTGTTTGATAGTGAAGTGGCACCGTCGATATGATTAGGGGTGTGCAACGGTTCGTTTCGGTCCGGACCGGACCAAACTCATGAGAACCGCGGTCCATTAGTGAAAGACATGTTAGGACCAAGGACCGGACCATTCTTGCATTTGGTCCAATTGGTCCGGTTCGGTCCGGTCCAAATATGAGCTTGGTCCACCATTTCTTCAGTAATTATAAAATTCATGAGGACCAAGGACCGGATCGCATTTTACTCGGTCTGGTCTGGTCCGGTCTTAACAACGGTTTGGTCCGGTGTGGTCCGGTACGGACCGGACCATTGCATACCCCTAGATATGATTGAAGGGTGAAAGGTGATGGTCAATTTTCAATTGATGTGATCACAGCTAATACCGCTGATTTGGGGCCTTTTAGTCTCGATGCTTTTAGAAGAAATGGTAAGCAATCTGCTGCTTCATGGGCGGCCAAAAGAAATGGTAAGCAAGCAGCTGGGAGCATTGAGATCTCGACCATCGGGACTAAAAAGCGAGGCCACTGTTTTGGTTTATGGAATTCAAGGGATGGATCACGTATGTGATTCTTAAAAGGCTATTTGGTTGGTGGCATGGATGGATGGGAAGGTAATTGTGGATTGGTGGCATGGATGGATGGGAAGGTAGTGTGAATTAGTGGGAAGGGGGTTGTGATTAATTTCACATCAACTGACAAATTCTATTCACGTAATTGCATGATCATATGGAGAATTGGAGATAGTATAGCTTGTGCACTTTGAGCAAGGAGTAGTAACGACGGAGTATCCACAAGGTTGGGGATAGTTCAAGAAACTAGCTGACTTGAAAATAAGGTGAGTGTAAAGGGGGTAAATTCTACGCCTTACGATATTTTCAGTATTTGGTTTGAGTATTTTTTTTAAGTATTGATTTACGTGATGTGCGTGATGTATTTGATTCATGGTTGATATTACATAATTATGTTTGATTATTTGTGCTTTGCTTGAGCTATTATTTGAGGTGATTTTGTATGAGCTATGCCTGATGTGAATGTGCATGAGTTCTTAGTTAATTTAAAGCTTCCCGTCTATAAGTTATTGTTAAAGTTAAGAAACAAGTTCTTTTCACATAAGTAACTCACCTTCAAAAAGGTGAAGTCGTTTTCAGTGTTTTTAGTCAATAGCGCCAGTTCGTTGCCTTTTGGGATAGTTTGAGATAGAGCAGCAGTTATGCTCTTGAGATTTTAAGATGGGCAGCAGTTATGCCCTTGAGAATCGTGATGAAGAGCCACCACGATAAGTTTAAAATGTTAGGGGGATGAATCATTACGACTTCCCTAACTAAGTTTAAGTTTAAGGAAAGCCTGGATGGCTTCTCATACGTATGAGTTGGCAACCAGACTAGCTAGTGAGGGATCCCAGTGTCAGTCAAGTATTTAAGTCAAGATTTGAGCTTTAAGAGAGGAGAGTAACTTCAACTCCCTCAAAGTTTAAGAGTTAAGATTTTTAAGATTGGAAGTACAAACAACTTCCAGTAGTCAAAGTTAAGTGTTTTAAGTAAAGTGAAGCATTAAGAATCTAAAACGTAAGGGCGTAGACTGACCCCATCTCACTCACTAGTTTGAAGAGCTAGAGGAAGAAGTTAGAGGAGCAGTTAGAGAGCAGCGGGATCGAGAGGAACAGTTCGAGTGAAGCTAGCTAGAGGAGGACGCTACGAGCGTCACAGAGGATGTCTAGTCAGAGTTTTTCACACAAGCAGCAACACCTGAGGCTAGTTAGTTATTATGTTCTATGATTATGAGTATAGACTGGAGATCAGATTGAGATTTTAAAGTTTGAGTTTAATTTGCCCACGTGTTAGGGATTTGCTCTGAGCTACAAGTGTGTGTTTTTTAGTATTTTATTTATGAAATTTTTTCCCAGTTGAGGTTTTAAGACTGGAGTATTTTATTTATCAATGGCATTTTAGTAAAAGTAGTACCCGGCCGGGTTAGCAAACAGATCATCATCATCAACCTAGAGAAGGAAGGAGGAACGTTGCAAAGGTCTGTGGAGGTAGAATCAAATGTGCGAGGACTTCAACTCCAAACACCGGCAAAGAGGTGCCAATTGAAAGGGAATACCTCAAGGATTTTGAAGGAGTTGAGAGAGTAGTACGAGGATTTTACTACTAAGAAACAAGTGGATAATCTAATAAGCGAAGACAAACAAAGGGGAGAAATATGAATCTCCAAAGGAAGAGGAACAATCACCAGATGCCAGTAGCTATGATAATGGGAGAATTTCAGGGTCCTTGACCCTAAGCAGTGGCGAGTCAAGAAACAAAGAGGTACCACGAGAAGTCCCTAACATAGTTTGAGTGGTCAACGCTATTACAACACCGTGACAAGGAGCAGCGGGAAGCTTAGACTTCAAGAAAAGCTAGAGTAGTATAAATGAACTAAAGGAGGAAATAAGTAGGTTACAGGGAGTATGAAAGGACGTCAAGAAGTCAAAAGGTCAAGGCGGAGAGGAGGTATGGTCGTTTACATAATGAAGATAAAGGAACCCTTGTAAATAAACTACGTCACTAGAGAAGAGGGTACACGACCCTGGGAGTTAGGCTGATGACAAGCCGTTAGAAGGAACAAGACAAGCAATGAGGTAAATGATGTAGAGGATAAGTTATGGTCTCAGTACAGCCACCGTTAGACGAGACATGGGGGAAAGTACCCCCGAAGTCTAAATCATACCTGGTAGAAGACAATGGGGAGTCAATAAGTAAGAAAAGATATGGAATGTGAGAGGGAATCAAAGTTAGCCAGTTAATGACAGTACGTATAGAGAACCACTTCTCAGAAGTGCGTGATTTGGATACCAAGATAACACCGAGTTAGAAGGAGGATAGTAGATACCCTACAAACTACCCAGGTCACAAAAGGTCAGGAGGATGTTGGGACCGTTGGAAGGGGTATGCAAGAGTTCACGACGATCTATGATGGGATTAGCCTCTCTTAAATAGAGGGAACACCTAGCCTCCTAGGGTACATGAGGGGTGACAGAAGGAGGAACTTCTCTACTAAATTGGAACTAGAGGGCTGAGAGATGGACGTGGCAGAATGCTAAGAAGTGGAAGGATCCTTTAAAATGCAGCTCCTACTGAGATAGATCAAGGTGGATCTCAACCACCTGCCATGCAACCTTCTCAACATCAGTTGTAGTTTAGATGGCAGTAGAATGTGTATGTTTTATGTATAGTAGCCTACCTCTAGCATATCTGTGGTATTCGTTTTCAGTTGTGACATTGAAGTTGGATCAATCTTTTGTATGGTACGTTACTTGTAGATCCATGGAAATGTTGTATATTTCCTAAACATTGGATCTGCATTATTATGTACTTTTGTGAAGACATTTTAGGTACCTTAAGGGACGATATTTTAGGTACCTTGGTAATGACATGTTTATGTGAATGTAAAAGCAGTTAATTGGTATTTCCAGATTTTGTAAATTGATGGTTCCTGCTTTTTGATTACAAAGAAAGATCCCATTAGATAAGTAACATAGAAAGGTTCGCACAACTGCTTACAACAACAACAACATATTAGAACATGCTGGAGGAATTCAAACCTACAATAACTATCCCTATAACTAAGGCTGCTAAAACGGCCAATACACACAACAGACGTGTATTGGCCAACCTAAAATCCCCAATCAACCTAGGATTATCTTCTCTAATGCTAGCTAAATCACCATACAACAATTTTAAGGCCTTCTTCCTTCGCACTGCTTTTTCTCAAGCAACCCTTAAACTCTCTTTCAAGCTTTCAGTCTGCTAGTCCATCAAACCTAGGTTCGACCTGATATGTTCATTCCCTCCAACAACCCCATTGGAGAAAGCACCTTCGTTGTCTTCGTTCAGAGTATCAACCCAAATGAACTAACGACAACTTTCTTCCTCATTCTGCCGTGTAGAAATCAAGCCATGGTGTGATCATTGCCCATCTCAATCAGAAATAAAAAGCAAACCCCTACTTCATTTACTTGCCAATGAGGGCAGCAATAAAATTTCCTCCCCGGATTCAGTTCACTTCGAGAAACATACACAAAAGCTGGTATCTTATGCCGCACTCGAGCAAACCAACTTTGGGACTTTGGTTGGGTAGAGGAGAAGAAATGGTAGAAGAGAAGAAATTAGGTCGATGGGAAGAAGGTAAATATAAGCTGGGTAAAATTGTAAAAAAAATTGATTCCCATTTAACGTGGCATCAACGTGTCTGCCACGAGGCAGCCACGTCGGCAGCAATCTAACGTCGTTTTAAACACCGTCTGGTCAACTGTTAAAACTTAACGGTCAACAGAACCGACAAGATGCAAATGACACAAAGTATCATTGTTCAAACACAGATGGAATAGTGGGAACAATACGATACAAGTGGCATTTTTGGGATAGTTCGGGTGTTGTAGTGGTATTAGCCCTTTCTCTTTTTTCTTTTGGTTGGGAAGACAATTGAATCTGAATCATAGGTATTAACGCGCGTTGTATTGTGAGAAGGTTTTATTAGATTTTGTAGTTTCCAGGTAGATCGAAAGCGAAATTTGTTAAAAAATTGGTCAAAGCGAGTTGAACACGTTGTTGACCAGTTTTAGATCGAAAGCGAGTTTTGTACGCTTTAATGTTTTTTTATTTCTCATTTTTCGTTTCGTTGACAATGACAATTGAACTCTGACTGATTGTTAACGAGTTTCGTATGGAGAGCGAGTTTTATCCGCTTTTGTAATTGACATGTTGGGTAAATTGTGAATTTGTTAAAATTGGGACGACCCGGTCAAAGCGATTTGAACGCAATGTTGAGAGTTTAGGGTCATGAATGAGTTCTTTCCACTTTAGTATTTTTTTTATCTTTTTCTTTTTGGTTGAGAATGACAATAGAGTCCAATTGCATGAGTAATGGGTGGGAGCGAGTTTTATAGGTTTTGTAATGGGCGGGTGGTGTTAGGTGTGAATTTGCTCAAAACTCGGTTCAACCAGGTCAAAGCGAGTTGAACCTGGTGTTGACGACTTTTGAGCCGACCTAATTTGACCGACCAATGCGAGTTGAATCTCCTCAAACCTGCAATCACTCCCAAAATTTCATAAAGGAGAACCGCGATTACCTCAAACCAAAAAAGAAAAAGGCAAAAGAGTACGACTATGTTTGGCCCGAATTTTAGAAGTTTTATGTTTCAAAAGGGATGGCAAGCCAAACACCTTCAAAGTTTCGCTTTTTAAAAAGATGAAGTTTTTTTATAACTTATAGGGAGAAACTCCCATTTAAAAATACAAAATTGTTATTACCATATATTATTCTTTTTTCTAGAAAACATAATTTTCTTTCATTTATATCATTATAAAAAATAAATTGAAAAATATTATTATTTAATATGAAATAAATCTAACACGATCCATTTTAGATAATTTTTTATTTTTGGAATTCGTATTCATATTTTATATTAAAAATCTTGTTTCATCATTTTACAGGACCTTTTATATTAGAAATTAGAAAGTAATTCTGATAGTTTTTCAGCTAAACACTTAACTGTTTTTTTAATACTTAAAGATCAAGAGAATTTGCTTCATTCTACGAAAATTACATCAGGATCAACCACTAGCAATACAAATTGAAACAATAGCGTCATGAGAGAAGTTTAAACATAAATAGTGGTGTCAGAAAATCTCGTATTAAAGCACCATACTAACTAAACTGATAGCCGTTAGATTAACAAATAATCCTATAGTCAGAATTTAGTAAAAGATAGTTTAGTCAATACACCCTCAAATCCTAGTATAAATACTTATTTTTCTACCATTCGTCTCACGTCTCTCACAAATGCTCACAGCTCTCCCACTTTCTAAAAACCCCATATCCATCTTCTTCTCCCTCTTCGAGGAACGTAATTTCCATCTCCGATCAAACTTCTGTTTGACTGCGCCTCAGCTTGCGTTGACCATTAGTGTGCCGGCTCGCCCGCGCCAGAACCAGAATCAGTCTCGCCCATGCAAGTCTCGCCCGCAACTGCTTTGCCAAGCCCCGCACCAGCCTCGCCATCACCCGCATCAATCTCGTCTTCCTCGTCTCGCTGCTTCCATCCTTCGCCTCTTCACCATCCGCCCTTTGTTGGCCGAATACGGAGAGTCAGTCGGTAGTCCACCTCAGCGCCATCCTCCCTCGACCCTCGCCGGCTTGGAGTAAACCCGGAATTGTCCCAGCAATGGAGATGCACTGATGCGCGCATATATATTGCTAGATAGGTGACTGTTTGTTTTTTTATTAGTATTGATTGTGTTGTAGTGTTTTTAAATGTATTAGTAGTGTTTTTTATTGTAATGATAGTGATATATGTTAACCATTAGTAATGTTTTATTCATTTGTAGTATTTTCTTTATTTCCAGCAGCGTTCTAGATAAAAAATAATAATAAATTACTATTAAATGAAAATCATATTAATTAAAAAATATGAAAAATAAAATCACTACAACAGTTTTTTAAAATCACTACTACATCAGGTAATAGTAATTTTCAGTAGTTGTTTTCACATAAAATTATTTTTAAGTTACGAGAGAATTATTTATTAAATTTAGTTTTATACAATTTAATATTTTTTAATTTTATTTTATAAAATACCAAAAATGCCCTTTCTACTTCTCACCTTCTAATTTAATCTAAAATTATTGAACCATGATTAGAGTGGTTAGCATGGTACTAACTCCTATAAAGTTAGCACTCTAACTTGTCTCACTTACCCTACTAGGCCAAGTCTTGGGACGAAATGGATTTAGGCCCAAATTTTGAAGGAGTCGCATGATGTGAGTCGCGTCTCACTTTCAAACCCTAGGTTGGCCACTTTGAGGAGAGCAGATGGGCCGAGCGGGGGTGGCCCAGAGTCAAAATTTTGGTTGGCTCGAATGGTGGCCGATGCTTCATCAGGGCAAACCAAGGAATGAGATAAAGCGGGCCGAGCCAAGTCCGGGTGACTCCTCCAAAATTTCACAATAAAACTCCCAATTAAGGCTCAAGTATAAACCTCAATTGGGTGCAATATACGACAAGTATGTATAAATATCGACCCTTTCCGGTCCATATACCCCTACTTTGATTGTTTGAAACATTATCCAGAAATTGGTTGTTTGGTTGAAAAATATGTTCTACTATTACAACGATAACAAAAGTAATTGGTTTTGACACTTAAATGAGAAGGATTCACCCTGGTGTAGCTCCCCCTAACTTGCTACCACGACTTGTCGGAATGACTGAAAAATGTATGGTGGAGGTGATTGAGGACCGTAAGGGAAGTGTAGAAACTAGCAAGAGATGAAACATCACTCTCTCGGTCTCTAGGCCAAGGAAATTGGATCAAGCTACTAAGGTACCTCTCTTGGCCTATTTGATTAAGGACTACCAAACTTTCACTCTGGAATCGGAATTCGGATGGCCAAAACACAATCGACCTAGGTGCCAACACAAATAAGGAGGGATGCCCTACATTAAGCTAGATAGAAGACATGATTTGCTTAAGAAAACACAACTTTACGAGCCTCTTTAACCAAATGGGGTTTTCTCTATACCCAGGTGAGAATGGCAAATAGATTGATAGGCAAACACACAACACAATCTGCAATGAAAATACCTCCAAATTCGTATTAAAACACACCCACACATAAACAATCATTTCATACAATCAATCACATGGTAGAAGTTAGGGTCCACAAACACCATGCTAGGAGAGGGAAAAATACATCATGGAGATGCTTGGATCCTCCCTTGTGTAGAAGAGATCTTCCTTTGTGGAAGATTTTACCAAATCCTTGCCTTGGAATGAAACCATAGCTTCTTTCTCTCTCTAGAATTCTGAAGAAGAAGGCTTCTCACTCAAGGTCTCCTCTTCCTTTCTTCTTTCAACTCAAGCCTCCTTTTATACCCAGGTCGGGCTCAGATCACGATATCAGTTCACTGTCGTGAACTGAAAGCAGAGACCGTGATCACAGGTCAAAATGTGCCGCTTCACTTAGTTGAGTTCACGATCATTAGCTTAAGTTCACGGTCTTACGACCGTGAACTGACTTGAGTCCAGTGAGACTGAATTTGGCTCTGGACGCCTAGCGGTTGACGGTTTGCGGCTCCAGTTCACAGTCTTAGTGACCGTGAACTCACTGCTTCCACTGTGATCTGTTGCTGCCTCCATCCTTTGATCTGATTTTCCTTTTCGTCCAGCTTTCGACTCCGGGGTTGGTTACACCTGCCATAGTCTGAAAAACACTAAAACGAGGCAAAACCCAGTGTAATAACAAACCTCCGGAGTACAAATGCCTCAAACGACTAAGGAAAACGGGGTAAAAGGTGTACAATTGAGCCCGAATCACCGAGCTCTATGTCAAGCAAGAAACGGACCAGCTGGGCTCAAGGAGGATTTGAGGCTCCCATGTGCTATCTTTTGAATAAGGGAGACGAGTTTATTAGGTTAACAAGTAAGCTTTTAAATGAGTAAGGCCCATTCGAGTTGGCAAACAAGTGGAGTAAGGAGAAACTTTATTTTGGTTTGGGCCACACCTCTTTCTTTCAAGCATATGTGGGCCAAGTCAAAGAAAAAGGAATAGGAGGTGGGGAAAAGTTATCGGTTGTTTTCACTACCAAGCCCATGGAGCAATTTATGGAAAATTTCCTTGAAAACCTCAAGCTGAAGCATAAAGAAGAATAGTTCTCTCATTCTTATTTCGTGGATTTTAAAAAAGAAGAGGAAGAATTGTTCGACTATGAGAACATGACATGTGTCATGTGGTTCGAGAAAAGTTGAAGAAAGTGGGAGTCATCTAAGAAGAAGAATAGTTCTCTCATTCTTATTTCGTGGAGCGCAATTGAAAACGAAGAAGGCGGAAGTTCAAGAAGAGAAAAGTCGACTACAACCTTTATGGCAAGGTCGCTTTCATGCGGAGGGGATTGTTAGAAACCCGCCTTTTGGAGTTTTTCTTATCATTCATTAGTAGGATAATTATTATCATGGTTAGTATAGATTTAGTCGAATTAGGATTATTAGTAGGTTTTTGCGATATTTTCCTATCAATATGTACTTTGGATTCATTATCGAACAGTTAAGAGTAATCAAGAACAATATTAGAAAAATTAGATATCAATATGTACTTTGGGTTTCATTATCGAACAATCAAGAGTAATCACGAACAATATTAGAGAAATTATCTCAACCCTAATCTCTCCCAAATCTTCTCAATTCGGATCCTTTTCTTCCCTAAACGGGCGCCAGCCATTCTATCCCAGTTCTACCCAATAATGTTCTTAATCCATAATCCCCAATTCTCCTATCTAAATCCCTAATTTTTATCCCCAAATCCCTAAATCTCTATCGTTACGAGCAATCACGGGTGTCGAAGATTAGTCCCTAAAAGCCCTAGAAAGTGAGTTTCTAACATATGCCTTGGATTTTTATGGGTGACTTTAATGCCATCAGAACTCCAGTGAAGGCTCAAATGATCCTCAGCCTCTACACATATGACGTATATTAACGACTAGATAAGAAACATGGAAGTAGGGAGCATAAATCAATTGGTTTGTGGTTCACATGGCTTAATAAACAGTGAGGTATCCTATTGCTCGTAGGTTGGGTAGAGCTTTTGTGAATCTTGCCTGGCTAGAGGTATTTATGGAGATTGAAGTTGATATACATGCTTCGGGAGTATCTGATCACCGACCTATGATAGTCCAAACTGACGTTCTGATTAACTCATTTGAGCAGTTGTTGACAAAGACTTGGAGTACTTAGGTTGCTGGTCCACCTTGATTAGAGTATATAAGAAATTGAGAATCTTAAAGGGCTCACTGAAGAAGTTGAATAAAGAGGAATTCTCAGATATTTGTGTTAGGGTTAAAGAAAAGGAGTAGGATTCTCAAAGACTACGCGATGGACATTAACTTCAGTTGCAAGGTTATATGTAACTTTTCTTCTCCTCCTTGTAATCGTCGTCTTTTTGGCTGTAGCCTCCCATCAATAAAAAAAATATATTAATTGGTCAATCATGGATGTTCATATTTGAATTTTTTCCAGAAATAGCACTGTTTTAATTTTTTGTTCTAAAAATAGCACCCAACCCCAAAAAATTCCAAAAATAGCACATTGTCCCAAAAACCGCCATCCGACTCAGCGGTTTACACGAAAACCGCAGGGTGAGGGCGCGGTTTTCATTGAAGTTTCCAACCGGTTTGGCCCAAAACCGCTGGCCCATCCAGCGGTTTGGTCCATAAATTTTCTTTTTTTTTTTTAATCTTAACCTAGTTGGAAACTTCAAACCAACATAACTTTTTGTTCGGGTATCCGATCGTAGCGAAATGTTTATTAATCTCACATAATTTTTCGAGATCTTGCAAACCGCAAATGGCCGTGGACGGTTTGGTCCCGCCTTCTTCCCGAAAAAATGTCGTTTCCTACCCCGAACGAGCTTTTTTCCGATTTGATCAAAGTTTGGATAGCCATTACTTTGTGCCTCAAAATCCGAACGTCATGAATTTTTTTTTTTCATTTCGCATAATTTTTAAGGACTACAATTTTTATCATAGACATAATTTCGGAATGTACGTGGATTTTTGAAAAGGGAAGGTAAGTTATTCCCAAAACCCTGTATATCTAAAATTAATTCATGTTTTGAAAATTCATTCCTCGTAAAAATTGTAGTCCTTAAAAAGTTATGGAAAATGAAAAAAATATTCATGACGTTCGGATTTTGGATACAAAGTTATGGTTGTTCAAAGTTATTGAGTATTTTTACCGTTCAAGGAATAAAACTGTCAATATATTATTTTTTTAAAAAGAAGAGTTATAGTTTGGTGGTGTAGATGTTGTGCTAAATTTAGTTAACTATTTATTATATTTGGGTTCGAACCACTATCCCCACAACATGCTACTTTTTTTAATCTCCACTAAATAAAAGATTTAATATGGGATGATGTCATGATGGGTGTTTGAACTAGGACTTCTTGCACAAATAAACAGCTAAACCAATTGTGCAAAGACAACTTATGACATTTATTTAAAAAAAAATATAATACAAACCGTCGGGTGGGGGTGCGGTTTGCAACCAAACCGCCCCGGACCCACGCGGTCAGCAAAACTGCCCCTACTCGTGTGATTTTCTTCGAAAGCGGTTTTCATGAAAGGGTGCTTTTTTGAAATTTTTCAAGGTTGGGTGCTATTTTTAAATTATATTTATGATTTCCCCTTCTCCTCTTTGGTATAATTGCAGGCACTTACACAGAACAGAAGTAGGAGCAAATTAAACAATCTAGTTTCAACTTTCAGTGTGGGAATTGTGATCGGCTGGAAGCAACATATTTAGTAACAAATCCATTTCATAATAAGACCTACGCCTACTCCCATATCTAATGATAAGAGCAAGGACCTTGACATGCATGTCCGTCACCAACTTTGCATCCCGAATTTGTTTTTGTACTCATTCCAGCCGGGAGCAATAACATATTCACAGTTCTTCCGGCTGCCAGAAGTCCACCATAACCCGGCCAAAGACTTTATACTCTGCCGCTATCTAGGGGAAGTCTTCCTTCTCGATAGAGTTGGGCCACAGCTGGATTCCAGTTCCTTCGGTTCTATAATCCGCAACTGGTTTGTAAGTTGTAAGGGGTTTATCCATTTGTGTGGTCCTTCACCTGAGATATAAGGCTAACTGGTCAGGTGCAATAAAAAAGGTGTAGCCAAATTTGACGAACAAACCCGCCCAAATTATCAAGTTATTTAGAGAAATGAAGGGGAAATTTGAAAGTTACATAACTATATAGCCAAATTACAGAGAACTCAAAGTGGGTAAAGCAATTCACTGATTCTAGCATGAAAACGAAACTTGTCTAGACTAGAGCCATATAATCAATTCCGAATTAGCCTTGAGTTGCGACTTCTTAAACAACACAATGACATGAAGGAATCATAATATATGGAGCATCCATACTATTCTCATAGATATCAAAGAGCATCCTCACTGACAGGAAACCCAGAGAATACCAATTAAAAACGAAGAAAAAGAACCGTAGAGAAAGAACAAACCTTAAGGCCATGGCTATCCTGAGGAAGATAACTATCAAGCTTGACCCAAGCAAAACAGTCCAAACGACAAGCAAATTTAGCATGGTATTCCCCTTGAATCTTGTCGCATGATTATCCAACTTCCGCCTTGAAGGTACCTTCCAGTTAGAGAACTACCATAAACATTGTCCTGAGTTACCACCTGAAGGCTCCAGAAAATGCTGGAGCAGTGTATTCTCCCAAGCTGAGTCCACAAGTGACATCAACTGAATCAATTATTTGCTGGCTATCATCACGATCGCAAGTGCAGCTAGACTTGTGACATATATAGCAGGCTGCAAAATAGACAACACTATCTTCAATTTCCAATTATTCTCTTCCCAATAAGCTATCAAGAGTACTTTTTTAAATGCACCTTAAAGGGAAGAGTACCTGGCTTATAACAGCAGAGCCCAGCTTCTCTTTTGGACCACTGAGACAGAGTTCTACAAGATCATACCTTCCTGAACAAACAAAAAACAGGACAAGCTAATACAAACGATATCCCAACAGCTTGTGCTCCATGAATTGGTCAACACAATACAAAAGAGGAAAGGACAGGAAGTAAGAGACAAGAAAACAACAAGCAAAAATTAAACAAAAAACACAAAGCTTCATACTCCTTCAAGGGAACATTGAAAGAGTAATCAAATGGGTCTGAGAGGCCACAGTAGAAGCTGCAGCTGAGCAAAAAAGTGAATAAACACAAAATTTAGATTATTTTGGTTTCATACCTTCTTTCTTAACTGTGGGTTAAAACACAACATCAACAATTAACTATAATCTTAAAATCAAGTCTCTAATTCTCATATCTGGACTACAAGATGGACCAATTATATCCAAACTTGGTGACAAGGTTTCAACACTGGCTATGAGTTCAACTTTTCGTAAGAACCTGAAAATGAAGTGCACGTATTATGCTGTCATTCAAATCATGAGAAAAATCATAACTTTGGTATTGATAACGCCTAAATAATACAAGTTACTTTCTCAATTCTTAGCACTCTTATTCATACCACATAGAGAAATGAACAGATACGCATTCACAAATTTAAGCAGGAAGTTAAACTAATGATCTGTAACATGGCACATAGATACCACTGAAGGCTATGAAACATGCTTTCAACACATAATATGCACACAGAGAGCATCCCTGAACTGCAAGGACTAGCTAAGAGCCATCTGCTAGTTCAGAATGCTTAGACCGCTCCATCAGATTAAAACTATTTTTTCCGCAGAGGTTTAGAGAAAAAAACATTCTTCTGATCGCCATCACAGACAAATAATTATATACCTTAAGCAGAAACCAACAGCTCTTTCAAAAATAAGAAGTAACAGAAGATGTCTATCCGTCCTACTCCTACCTAAAGCACTTCTAATTCAACAAACCAGGGTAGTGTAAGTAAGAGCATAAAGAACCACGATGGCGAAGCGTTCCAAACAAATATACTACATCCATTTCCATCTTTCCCTGTAGAAGTAGAAGTAACACCCGAGAAATCAGAAATGACACTGCAATGGAAGTGCAGCTTAGCCTTCAGCCAAAATCATTTAAAGAACAAGCACCTTTGTGGCGGCATAGAAATAGGAACGCAACTTTTTCTTTGCCTTGAAAGAGGAAATCCTGCAATAATTGCAGGAGACGGCCAAAAACTCCTTTTAAACAATTGCCTCAACCTACTGGTCCATCAGTACCTCACCTGAGTCATGGAGTAAAGATCAACACAGCTATATGATTTCCCAGTCTCCTGATCTTGTACAGATGACTGCAACTCAAAACACACAGAGAAACGTAAATATCATTAAACCCATTTAAAGGGATAATCTTCCTAAACACAAAGTCGGATGATTTGGCAATGTCACAGAGATACATTGCAGGCACATCTGATAGTCAATCAATGAAACCAGCCGCCTGCAAAACAACTAATAAATAGCCCCACCAGGGCAGACCAAGCAATCATCAAAAGTGCAATTGAAAGCTCCATAAACACCAGAAGAGAGGAAATCATCATTCAGAGTGATCAAGATGTTCAACAAGGTAAATCCGAAGAACCAAACCCAAGTAACACGAATAGCCATATAAGAGCAATAAACCCACAACGAAATACACGACCTCCAAGAACCCAAGAAATCAGAACTCCCCTACTGCCGCTGAAGAAGAAAAATTGAAGGGCACTATAGAGAAACAAATAGAAAATAGAGCACCATCCAAGCCTTCCCCAAAACAATGTTGACACCGAATGAGTACATGATGATGGGAATTGGCGGACAGTAAAAGCAGGCCACACATGTAAGCCTGGAGAGTTGTGCAAAGATCCTCAACAAGGCAAAACCCAAGATACAAAATAGATACGCAATTAACAATTCAAGTTTGGACTCCTAAGTTAGGAATGAGAGAGGCAAAGTGATTATAATCAACCAAACCCACAACTGTCACACAAGACAATAAATCATCTAGGCAAACCCCAACTGCATCAAGAAATAGGAAACTGAAGCAAGAGAAATTAAAAAGGGAAAGGAAACCAGAGTATTAGCATGAAAACTGATCAACCACAAGCTCAATAAACTGATGTGGGAGCAAAGATCTGTAATGAGAAATGAAAACAGCCCTAACCCAAGAAAATAATTCACACATGCACACCCCAACTGCATCAAGAAACACAAAACCAAAGTTAGAGAAATAAAAGAGGGAAAGGAAGCCAGAGAAAAGCCACAGGTCAATAAACTGTTGTGGGTATCATGAAAAATATTTAAAATAGCTCTATTGATTGCTCCAATTCATCTCTAAAGTAAAAGAGCTCTACTAGATATATCCTAAACAACTAAGAAAAAACTGCTCTAGATTACAGGTTATGGACGAATTCCCAATCGCTTGATGTTTCTTCTACAAGAACTACAGATCAAACCATTACCATTGAAGCTCATCTTTCGTGTGTGTTTTGAAGCTTGGTTCGATCCATGTACAATTTAAATATTCTTTGGTGTTGCACCAATCATCATTGTTGTATCCGCTCCAAAAAGTATGAAACCTTTTTGTTGCCAGAGAATAGAACACACCATCCTTCTCCTTAAACCTGTCCAAAAACACCTTGTTTCCCAAGCCGGAAATCCTATCTCTGATATTTGTTGCTGATAATGCAGAAGTAGCGCTCACAAACAGCATCTTGTCTTCGAGATCATCCAGTTTTTTCCAAGCAATGGTTTCTTGATTGAGTGCATATACTTGCAGAAATTTCCCCATGTGGCCTATCAACACTGACAAAAGCTTCCCATTGCACTCTAACAGATAGCTTCTTCTTATTGAAGTACAAGATCTAGCAGGAAACTCTATGATCTTGTTGGCTCTTTGTTCAAAGTTATGAATGCACAGATCTGCATTCTTTCCCATAAAATATAGTAATCCTTTGTGGTAAATTGGATTACTGAAAGGGCTCTTGAAATCAATACTGTCGCTCATTACTCCATATCGACTCCACTCATGCTCCCCTCGGTAAATAAAGAATATCACCACTTGCTGCTGCCAAACTGTGTAGCAAATAACCATAGAGTCAGCGGATGTTGGAGGGGACGAGAATGTAATCCCTTCAAAGTCACATGGCATGCTAGGAATGTTGATCCTTTCTTTGGTAAAAGGATTGAAGAAGAACAGTTGATCACCCTGACGTCCTTGTGACATTAGCAACCACCCGTGTTTGGAGCAGCGAATGACTGCGCCTCTCAGACTCAAACCATCTAAAGACAAGATACTGGTAACACTTGTTATTGGGTGGAATACAGTGACCACCTCCCATCTAATCCTCTATGTATGAGGATTGGAAATGAGTGATCCCTTGCAAATTGATCATTTGATGATGTAGAGACAGCGTTAGAGAATACTGAATTCCATGGTTTGCAAGCAAGACGAAAAAAGCAACGATCGGCTACAAATAAACGAGATAGTATATCAGAAAGAAGGTCAATTGAAATGTCAGACCACCAATGTCGCCCATTGTCAGTACTGCTATAGTTGCTGTCTGCCAACAAAATCTGCTCACTACCAATCTCATCAGGCAAGATTTCGTATTCATGGTCTCCCCTATCATCTCTAAAGGCTGCTACTATTTCCCGTTGAGGACCAATGGTTGAAGATGAGCAACCTAGGGGCATGATCCAAACTGGTTCAGTATAATCATGTCTGTTAGCATTAGGACACGGTAACGAGACACTAATACTTCGCTCTCCAACATCATATGCATAAAGATACCCGTCTCTTATTGGCATGAAGTACACCGTGTTCCCACGAACAAGTCCTCCCACATCCAAGTCTGGTATTCTTGGAATTTTATAAAAGACTGCTGTATCGCTATGGGAGCCTAAGAAGATTGCAGTATCCTCGGGCAAAGTCTCCACGTGTTCCCACCTTTGTTCCTGAAAGTTGACCTTGTAGAGCTCAATTTTCTTGACAACAATCTTCAAGCCCTCGACACGAATCTCAAGGCTTAAGTCAGTGTCTCTGTTGTCACCGTAGTGTAGCTCAATCCCCATTAGTTCAGTAGGTGAGGCCTGAACCAGGAAGCAAGCTCTCAACATAGTGCTCCTAATGAAGTGCGCCCAAGGCCGGTCCGGTCTCCTTAACTTGAGATCAAGTAACTTGATTGAGACATCATTAATACTATGTTTGTCAATCATCAACTGAACCCTGAAGAGGCTGTAACAGCACATTGAAACAACATATAACTCGCTATTGAAGCTGACGATGTGGTGGAAACGGAAGAGATGGGCATTCTCGTCGTCCCGGCATTGACCTTGTTGCGGCTCCACTAGTTGTGTGGTCCAATCTTTATCCCCCGGCTGACAGAAGTGGAAAACACTCTGCTTCTTTTGGTCACAATATTCGATACACATCAGCAGACAATTATTAACACTACCACGAGTAGGAGGAGAAGAAAGTGCACAGTTGTAGATGGACTTAGCAGTGGATGGGAAGTTGGGTAAGTGAACCTCCTCCATGGTCGCAGGGTTAAACAATGAACAATATCTTAGTCTTCGATCGGTGCCAAAAAGCGCTAACCAGCCTTGGGAATGTGCCCAGATACGTCGATTTCGCAGCTGAGGAATATTTCGGACGTGGCAACGTCGTTCCAACAAGCTGTAAAAAGTTTGGGACTTCCGCTGCTTCCCGTGGGAGTATACCAGCCATGGCTCTGGTCGTAGAGCCGGCGGCTCCTGCCGATTATTCTTTTGATGGCGATGCATAACCTGCTGTTGCTGTTTCTGCTGAGGAGTACCAAAGCTTATTTAAGCTAATTAATCCGTGGGTACCTGGGTACTTTGAGTTCAGAAAGGATTTGGCTACCATTTCCGGTTTGTATAAGGAAAAGAAAAAATAACGTGCCTGGCGTATATGTGCGGATCGCGACTTCTGGGGATGGTTTGGCGGCGGGCAGATTTGGATGGAGGAGAACGGAGCTGGGCGGCGATGTTTATGTGGGGACAGCGACTTCCGGGGAGGTTTCGGTGGCTGGGAAATTTAGATGGAGGAGATTTGAGATGTGGGTGAGGAACCCTCAAATTGGAATAGGGGAACCGGCCGACTCCATCCCCCGCCACCTTCTTCTCTTGTCAGTTGTCACTAAGGTTGTCAAACCGGTTTAAGTCATTGAGCCGGTCAAGCAAGAGGTTTGAGGTTTAATGGTCTGATCGGGGTTCGACCGGTTTGAGCCGTTTTAGACGTTTTCTAAATATATATACAAATAAAGTAGTAATTAAAAATTTAATGAGTGAAATAAAATTTATCTTACATATATCTATTAAAAACTTATTTTCAACAAAATAAATCTACCTAACCTCCATGATCCACCTATCATTTCCCTTCCTTCGTTCTTTTTCCTCTCTTCTGCCTCTCTTCTTCTCCCTGTTTAGGGGTCAGACCGGGGCGTTTTCTGGAGGCCGTTTTGAAGCCCGACTCGGGTTGAACCGGGTCCAACCGGGGGGTTCGATAGGGGTTTAACAACCTTGGTTGTCACCGTGTAATTATCGTGAACTTGAGTGTAAAGAATTCGAACTAAACGACTCAATTGTAAAGACAGAATAGTAGACAGTAGATAGTGGGGGACTGATCGACAATTTGTCAACCGGGTTCAATATAAAAGTGGCAGAAAGGTACCCGACACCAACTAGGGATGACAATTTTGGCCATAGCCCCATACCCATGGGTATTTTACTATCCAACCCAATTGGGTTGAGTATGGATTCCAAATAAATGGTAGATAGGTAGAGTTAGATGGATTTGTACAAATGCAAATTACAGTTTGGTACCTAAACTTAATAGATATGCATATTTAGTACCTAATTTTTTTTTTTTGCATATAAGTCCTCAAAATATTGATGGAAAATTACATTTTAGTACCTAAATTTTTTGGTCTTACATTTTGGTACCTAAACTTTTCGAGTTTTACAAATAGGTCCAATTTTTGTGTGTGTAGTTAAAACACCCTCAAGTAAATGGATATCCATATCCAATAGGGGTGGCTATACGGTCCGGTCCGGTTAAATTGGCCCAAATTGATCCGGTCCAGTCCGGTCTTTTTGAAAATATAAGGACCGAAGATTGGATTGGATACAGTCTGGTCTTGATCCGGTCCGGTTTTGATCCGGTCCGGTCCCAATTCAGTCTTGATTTTACATTGAGATTGTGGGATTTGAGTGGCCTAAGGCCTTAAAGAGTGAGGAGTTGGTTAAGTTTTGTACTAAGTGCAAAGGTTTGTGACCGTTTATGCAAATTACCCTTAAGTTTTGGGTGTTGAGCTCTCTTATCCGGTTTTTTACCTCAAATCTAAGCCCAAAGATTGGATTGGATTGTTTACTATCCGGTCCCGGTCCGGTTTCCGGTTTTTAATCCGGTCCCGGTCCAAATAGCCACCCCTAATATCCAACCCATACTCATTTACATAATGAAAGCAATATCCATACCTAACCCAAACCCATCTACAAACCCCCAAACCCATATACACTTCATCCAAACCCTACCCATACTAAATGGATCTATTTGGATTTGGGTAAAATTACCCATGGGTGGGTAATTGTCATCCCTAACACCAACGGCGGCAGCTACTCGCAACATCCTGTTGGAGGAACGAATCACTACGGTTAACAATGTGTCTCTGCACATCACCAACGCCGACGAGCAAGCGGTGGTAGTTCAAGATTGCCTGGCCAGAAGTGAATCTCATATACAAGAATTAACAACAAAGGCCGACGGTCACTCAGGAAAGTTCACAAATCTCACAATTGGATAAGAGGTTTGGTGATCTTGAGCCACGTTTCGATCAGATATTTGAGGAAATGTTTCGTCGTCTCGATCAGCTAGGTCTTCCCCAGCCAACGGTGGTTGTGGCTGATGCGGCGGTAGCTGTGGTAGATCGGCACAATGATGAGGTCATACTTCCCCTGTCAGGACTCGTGGTCGCTGCGTTGGAGCTCAATCTGCCTCGGCGGGTATAGGTTTCGAGGTATCGTGTTACAAACCTGGAAGTGAATCAATTCAATCAACATCATCGCGGAAATAACAATCAGGTGCAGTTAGCTTGTTTAGATTTTTCCTCTTTTAATGGAGAAAACACTAGAGAATGGACCAGAAATGTGAGAAAATGTTTGAGATATATGAGATTCATGTAGACCAATGGGTGAAAATGGCGTTCATCTATTTAGATTGCCTATGAAGGCTGGAAATCTACTCGTTGTGAGCTTATATGGCCTGAGTTTGTGAATGCTTTATGTGCTCGATTCAGTGATTGGACTCAGAGAGGACTAAGGAGTGGACAGTGAGTTTAACAAGCTTCGACAAAGGGGATTCTTGGTCGAATATCAGGAGAAGCTCGAATATCTGAAGTCATAGATATTGAGGTACAACGTAGCTTTACCGGAAGAGTATTTTATCTCCAGTTTCATCAGTGGCCTAGAGGAGGAGCTGAGGCCAATAGTGATGCTGAGGCCTCAATCACTATCATATGCAATTAAGATAGCCAAATTGGAAGAGGCTTCCAATGAAGTCAAAAGAAGGAAATGGAGGAATACTATTGTGTATCCCTCTACACCCTTTGCTAGTAGTGGAGGCGGTCATGGGGTAAGAGATGAATTGGTGGGAGTAAACCACAATCAGGGCTAAGGCTACTAAAGTTTCTAATAATAAAGGCCATTACCCTAAAAGTGCATGTTACAAATGTGGAGACAAATACTTCTTTGGCCATGTTTGTGAATCAAAGAAGCAACCCAATGCCTTGCAGGCTGAAGATGAAGGAGTACTACCTCATGTGGACTGGAGTGAAGATGAGGAAAGTGAGATTCAAGAGGGACCAAATGATGGACCCACTAAAGAAGTGATAATGTTGGGGGAAGGTGAAATAGAACAGATTCTATATAACACCCAACTAGGGGTGGCATTCGGTCGGTTTCGGTTTAACCGAAAACCCGGTTATTGGTTAAACAGAGCCACCCTCTATACCTGCCGACCACCGACCGTGAGAGTGGTCACGGTTAACCGGCCAACCGACCGGTCGGTTTTGGTTTTAGGCTCGGTTAGCCGGCCAACCGGAAAACTACCTTTTCTAAAAAAAAGAAAAAAAATTAAAAGCAACAAAAAATCTGCACCACTCACTCCTAACCTAACCCCTCAGTTTTCTCGATTCTTCTTCCCCTCCGTTTTCTCGATTCTTCTTCCCAGACTCTCTCTCTCGATTCTCTTCTTCCTCTGGAAGAAAAATAGAAAAACCAACTCCGCCACCGAGATCCCGAAATCGCCTCCTCCCTCACCTCTCTCGTTCTGCCTCTCCCTCAATTGCCGACATCCTCTCTCTCTCTCTCTCTCTCTCTCTCTCTCTCTCGATATTTCTCCTCCAATCTAAAAGAAGAAAGCGCACAAATAGTTCCCTCTCTCTGCTCTTTCTCACTCTCCCTCGTCTTACCCAGAAGGCCAGAAAATGAGCCGGGCTCTGGACGCCGGCAATGGCCTCTGCCGCGGTGAGGATGTGGAGCGGGTGCAGGTGGCGGGTTTGGCGGAGGTGCTGGTGGAGGCGGAGGGTTAGGAGGCGGCGGTGGTTTATGTGGTTGGATTGGTAAGGGAGGGGAATCAGAAAAGGTGGAGGGCTTGGCGGCGGAGCAGGTGGCGGGATCGGAAAAGGTGGAGGTCTAGGTGGCGGAATAGGTAAGGGAGGTGGGCTTGGGGGCGGTTGGCTATGGCGGTGGTAAGAGTGTAGATCTTCTTCTTCTTCTTCTTCTTCTTCTTCTTCTTTTTCCTGGATTTGGGAATTTTTATTTATTCAAGATGTGGGAATGGAGATGAATCTAGACAGGATTTTGGGGAAGGTTGAGTGGCTCTTGGTTGGCCCGGTTAGTCGGATAACCGCGGTTAATCACCATCGGTTACTCGGTCAACTGACCCCTTCCTTTTCACATCCGACCACCGACCGTCAAGGTAACCGGTCGGTTTTTGTTTAGCTGGTAACCGGCGGTTACCCGCTAACCGCAAACCGAAATGCCAGCCCTACACCCAACTACTTCTCTATTTTAAAACATTAAAATATATGCACATCCTCAACTATTTACCAAAATTGCTAAACTCTTGGTTCGTTACAAAGTTTTGGGAAAACCCATCTTAAAATGTCTCATGTAAAACAATGTGGAGAGTTCAGTTTGCCGCCCACCTCGCCATTCATCAAGCTTGAACTTGCTTCGTCTCATGACCTTCACCCATATAGGTATTGATCTAGGAAAATTATTGACGGGGTGAGACGTCACTCAATGAGTAATAATAACCAAATAAATATATTAGTATGAAAATGATATCAAGCTATTCTTCGACTTGGAGTGTCTTTTGTACATCATACTCGGTGTATATTTAATCACTTAATAACTTTACTTAGGTCTCACCTATGTAGATTTATAAATTTCTTTCAGTGTCCATTCAATATTTCTACGTATAAATTACAAGTAATTCATTCAAGCTTTTACACCATATGTAATATATCATTCGTTTAGGGTTTCACCTTTACTTTACACCACCTGTTATTGTATATAGTTCGTATTCATTCTTATATACCATACATAATTTTCCATCATATCTTTACACTTCCATCAACACCATCATAGGATTCATTATAGACACATGACCCTATACATGTCAACATATCATGCTCATATCATAATTAAATAAATATATCAGTACTACTTATAAAACAGTTTCTTAGTCAATCATTGTACCACATGCCATAAGAGATCCCCACAAAATATATCTCATATCACTTGATACGACATATAAAACACATCAATCTTCACATATGTCATGTAAGGGTTCGCATTCTATAAATCAAATATGACAAATACTAATATTGCAATTCAAGTATCCACGTTGCATCCAAACCAACCATGTATCTACATCCAATCACAAACATGCATAAAGTTAGCTTGATTTTAGTAGCTTTTATTCTTTAATTTGCCAAGTCATGCACTCCCTGGGATCTCGTGAACTCGTAATCTCGTAGGCACAAAGTGCCAGATCTCACAAACTCGTGAACTCGTGGGCGCAGAGTGTCATATCTTATGAACTCTTAAACTCGTGAGACACAAAGTGCCATATCTCATAATTTCGTAGCAAGGCCTAACATTGCTCCTTAAAAGGAGTACTCGTATAACACATTTATCACTTAGGCTTGAAA